GGGCCGGGCATGGAGAGCCTGGAGCCTGGGGAGGAGATTTGGAGGCCGGGCATAGATAGCCCGGAGCCCGGGGTGGAGATCCGGAGGCCTGGGCATGGAGAGCCTGGAGCCCGGGGAAGAGATGTAGAGGCCGGGGATGGAGAGCCAGGAGCCCGGGGAAGAGACCTTTGGTACCTGCTCCATCTTCTTCAAGGACCACTCTTACTTAAGTATGCAAACCTCCAGAGCTCCAAACATTGCTTATGCTGGCTAATGCGTTCATATCTCAGATATTCACACATTCTGGTAATCCATGTTCATCCAAATCCACATCCAAATTTATCTTGACACCAAAGTTAGTGTCGGATTAGAACATACTCACTCACTATCATTAACTTGAGTGCTCCTAGCCTGAATTTTTATTTATTCACCTATTATATAATTCCTCATTATCTTATCATCATTTATTGCATGTATGTTGTATCATCATTTATCCTGTAATAAACAGATCATTATAAGTTCTGGTTTGTGAGTGTTCTTTCAGAAGTGGAGTCCCTGAAATGAGAATTTCGGCTTGAGATATGCGATTGATGAACTAAAGATTGACTTAATGTTTGATTTCTGAATTAAACTTTTGTTTTTCTTTATTTTCCCACCATGAAGGGTGGGTGGTGTCCCTTTCAACAAGTGCATATTTGTCATAATTTGAGATTATTATTCTTCAGACATTTATTATAAATTCGAATTGCTACAGAAGTCTCAGTGTTCCAGAATGTCAGGGTTCTAGAATGTTGGTTTTAAGATGTCAGTGTTCCAGAATGTCAGGGTTCTAGAATTTCACCTTGGAAATGTCAGTATTCCAGCATGTCAGGGTTTGAGAATGTTGGTTTCAAAATGTCAGTATTTTGAAATTCAGTAATCTGGAATGAAAGGGGTTCTAGAATTTCAGTTTTGAAATGTCATTGTTTTGAAATGTCAGTTTTTCCAGAATGTTAGTGTTCTAGAATGTTGGTTTCTAAAGGTCAGTGTTCCAGAATGTCAGGGTTCGGGAATGTCAGGTGTTATGCCCCAGTCTAGGGGTGCCTTGGACACAACATGATAAGGCCTCATCTTCCCCAAGTCCCAAGTAGCCACAAACCAGAGATTTGTTTCGATTTCAAGAAAATGATTTATTTACATAAGTAAATGAACATATAGATATAGAAAAATAACTAAGGCGGAGTGGTTAGGCTTCAGGTTGGACTAATGCCAAAATAACCAAAATGATCCTGTCTGTGGAGTAAGTAATTAACCTACCCAAACAAAGGAAATGAATGACAAATGACTTACCTCCCTAACTTAATAAACAGGAGAAAATAAGGTTAACAAAACTGGCATCCCACCCTTACTACCCACTACCGAAATCACTACCAAAATACACAACGGTTTAACTCAGCAAAACAGTGTGGTCGGTTGGGAGAGGAGGAGGATGAGGAATGCCTGCAGCCCTGCCACCGGTGGCGGCCATCTTGGCTCTTCAAATAGCAGGTGTAAGTAGCTCTCAGCTAATCCCTGGCCAGGACGTAGATCCAATCCAACAATGACCGCACGGCTGTGGCACACACCTATTTGCATACGAGATTGGCACAAAAGACACAGGGCACACACACACACACACACACAGCAGACAGTCTACAAATATATGACCAGTCATAACACAGGGTTCTAGAATATTGGTTTCTAAATGTCAGTGTTCCGAAAGGTCAGGGTTCTAAAACGTCCGTGTTTTGAAATGTCAGTGTTCCGGAATGTCAGTGTTTTAGAATGTCGGTATTGAAATTTCAGTGTTTTGAAATGTCAGTGTTAAGGAATAGCAGGGTGCTGGAATGTCAGTTTCGAAATGTCAGTGTTTTGAAATGTCAGTGTTCTAGAATTTTGGTTCTAAGCTGTCAGTGTTCCTGAATATCAGGGTTCTAGAATTTTGGTTTTGTAACGTCAGTGTTCCTAAATGTCATCATTTTAAATTGTCAGTGTTTCAAAATGTCAGGGTTCTAGAACGTCGGTTTTAAACTGTCAGTGTTTTGAAATGTTAGTGTTCTGGAATGTCAGGGTTAAAGAATGTCGGTTTTTAAACGTCAGATTCGAAATGTCAGGGTTTTGAAAATGTCAGTATACTAGAATGTTGGTTTTGAAATGTCAGTGTTTTGAAATGTCAGTGTGCTGGAATGTCAGTATTCCTGAATGTTAGGGTTCTAGAATGTTGGTTTTGAAATGTCAGTATTCCGAAATGTCATGGTTCTAGAGTGTTAGTTCTGATAAGTCATTGTTTTGAAATGTAGGTGTTCCAGAATGTCAGGGTTTTAAAATGTTGGTTTTGAAATGTCAGTTTTTTTAAATGTCACTGTTCTTGAATGTCAGGGTTCTGGAATGTTGGTTTGAAATGTCAATGTTCCAGAATGTTGGTTTTGAAATGTCATTGTTTTGAAATGTCAGTGTCACAGAATGTCAGTGTTCTAGAATGTTGGTTCTAAGCTGTCAGTGTTCCTGAATGTCAGGGTTCTAGAATTTTGGTTTTGTAATGTCAGTGTTCCGAAATGTCAGCATTTTAAAATCTCAGTGTTCCAAAATGTCAGGGTTCTAGGATGTCGATTTTGAAATGTCAGCGTTCCCAATTGTCAGTGATCTAAAATGTTATTTTAAAATTTGAGTGTTTTGAAGTGTCGGTTTTCTGGAATGTCAGGGTTCTGGAATATTGGTTTTGAAATGTCAGTTTTGAAATGTCAGTGTTCCGGAGTGTCAGGGTTCTAGAATGTTGGTTATACAATGTCAGTATTTTGAAATTTCAGTGATCTGGAATGAAAGGGGTTCTAGAATGTCAGTTTTGAAATGTCAGTGTTTTCAATTGTCAGTGTTCCAGGATGTCAGGGTTCTAGAATGTCGTTTTTGAAATGTCAGTGTTCTAATATGTCAGTTTTGAAATGACAGTGTTCTAGGATTTAAGGGTTCTAGAATGTTGGTTTTGAAATGTAAGTGTTTTGAAATGTCACTGTTCCGCAATGTCAAAGTTTTAAATGTCAGTGTTTTAAAATATCAGTTTTCCGGAATGTCACGGTTCCAGAAGGTCGGTTTTGAAATGTCAGTGTTTCGATATTTCAAAGTTTTAAATGTCAGTGTTTTGAAGTGTCAGTGATCGGGATTTCATGGATTCGGAATGTTGGTTTTGAAATGTCAGTGTTTTCGAATGTCAGTGTTCCGGAATGTCAGGCTTCTAGGATGTTTGTTTTGAAATGTCAGTGTTCCGGAATGTCAGGGTTCTAGCATGCGGATTTTTAAACGTCAGTTTTGAAATCTCAATGTTCTGGAATGTCAGGGTTTTTGAGTGTTGGTTTTGAAATGTCAGTGTTCCAGAATGTTGGTTTTGAAATGTCATTGTTTTGAAATTTCAGTGTCACAGAATGTCAGTGTTCAAGAATGTTGGTTCTAAGCTGTCAGTGTTCCTGAATGTCAGGGTTCTAGAATTTTGGTTTTGTAACGTCAGTGTTCCGAAATGTCAGTGTTCTGGAATGTCAGGGTTCTGGAATGTTGGTTTTCAAATGTTAGTGTTTTGAAATGTCAGTGTTCTGGAATGTCAGGGTTCTGGAATGTTGGTTTTGAAATGTTAGTGTTCCGGAATGTCAGTTTTCCAGAACATTAGGGTTCTGGAATATTGGTTTCGAAATGTCAGTGTTTTGAAATGTCAATGTACCGGAATGTCAGTATACCGGAATGTTAGGGTTCTAGAATGTCGTTTTTGAAATGTCAGTGTTTTAATATGTCAGATTTCAAATAGCAGTGTTTTGAAAATGTCAGTGTACCGGAATGTCAGTTTTCCAGAACGTTAGGGTTCTGGAATATTGGTTTTGAAATGTCAGTGTTTTGAAATGTCAGTGTACATGAATGTCAGTATTCCGGAATGTTAGGGTTGTAGAATGTCATTCTTGAAATGTCACTGTTCCGCAATGTCAAAGTTTTAAATGTCAGTGTTTTAAAACATCTGTGTTCCGGAATGTCACGGTTCCAGAAGGTCGGTTTTGAAATGTCAGTGTTCCGATATTTCAAAGTTTTAAATGTCAGTGTTTTGAAATGTCAGTGATCGGGATGTCATGGATTCGGAATGTTGGTTTTGAAATGTCAGTGTTTTGGAATGTCAGTGTTCCAGAATGTTGGTTTTGAAATGTCAGTTTTGAAATGTCAGTGTTCCGGAGTGTCAGGGTTCTAGAATGTTGGTTATACAATGTCAGTATTTTGAAATTTCAGTGATCTGGAATGAAAGGGGTTCTAGAATGTCAGTTTTGAAATGTCAGTGTTTTCAATTGTCAGTGTTCCAGGATGTCAGGGTTCTAGAATGTCGTTTTTGAAATGTCAGTGTTCTAATATGTCAGTTTTGAAATGACAGTGTTCTAGGATTTAAGGGTTCTAGAATGTTGGTTTTGAAATGTAAGTGTTTTGAAATGTCACTGTTCCGCAATGTCAAAGTTTTAAATGTCAGTGTTTTAAAATATCAGTTTTCCGGAATGTCACGGTTCCAGAAGGTCGGTTTTGAAATGTCAGTGTTTTCGAATGTCAGTGTTCCGGAATGTCAGGCTTCTAGGATGTTTGTTTTGAAATGTCAGTGTTCCGGAATGTCAGGTGTCTAGCATGCGGATTTTTAAACGTCAGTTTTGAAATCTCAATGTTCTGGAATGTCAGGGTTTTTGAGTGTTGGTTTTGAAATGTCAGTGTTCCAGAATGTTGGTTTTGAAATGTCATTGTTTTGAAATTTCAGTGTCACAGAATGTCAGTGTTCAAGAATGTTGGTTCTAAGCTGTCAGTGTTCCTGAATGTCAGGGTTCTAGAATTTTGGTTTTGTAACGTCAGTGTTCCGAAATGTCAGTGTTCTGGAATGTCAGGGTTCTGGAATGTTGGTTTTCAAATGTTAGTGTTTTGAAATGTCAGTGTTCTGGAATGTCAGGGTTCTGGAATGTTGGTTTTGAAATGTTAGTGTTCCGGAATGTCAGTTTTCCAGAACATTAGGGTTCTGGAATATTGGTTTCGGAATGTCAGTGTTTTGAAATGTCAATGTACCGGAATGTCAGTATACCGGAATGTTAGGGTTCTAGAATGTCGGTTTTTGAAATGTCAGTGTTTTAATATGTCAGATTTGAAATAGCAGTGTTTTGAAAATGTCAGTGTACCGGAATGTCAGTTTTCCAGAACGTTAGGGTTCTGGAATATTGGTTTTGAAATGTCAGTGTTTTGAAATGTCAGTGTACCAGAATGTCAGTATTCCGGAATGTTAGGGTTCTAGAATGTCGTTCTTGAAATGTCACTGTTCCGCAATGTCAAAGTTTTAAATGTCAGTGTTTTAAAACATCAGTGTTCCGGAATGTCACGGTTCCAGAAGGTCGGTTTTGAAATGTCAGTGTTCCGATATTTCAAAGTTTTAAATGTCAGTGTTTTGAATGTCAGTGATCGGGATGTCATGGATTCGGAATGTTGGTTTTGAAATGTCAGTGTTTTGGAATGTCAGTGTTCCAGAATGTTGGTTTTGAAATGTCAGTGAATTGAAATGTCAGTGTTCTGGAATGTCAGGGTTCTGGAATTTTGGTTTTGAAATGTCAGTGTTCCGGAATGTCAGGGTTATAGAATGCCGTTTTTTTAAATGACAGTTTTGAAATGTCAGTGTTTTTAAATGTCAGTGTACTAGAATGTCAGGGTTCCGGAATGTAAGGGTTCTAGAATGTTGGTTTTTTAAATGTCAATTTTGAAATGTCAGGGTTCTGGAATGTCAGGGTTCGAGAATGTTGGTTTTGAAATGTCAGTATTTTAAAATTGCAGTTATCTGGCATGAAAGGGGTTCTAGAATTTCAGTTTTGAAATGTCAGTGTATTGAAATTCCGGAGTTCCAGAATCTTAGGGTTCTAGAATGTCGGTTTTAAACTCTCAGTGTTTTAAAATGTTGGTGTTCCGGAATGTCAGTATTCCAGAATCTTAGGGTTCTAGAATGTCGGTTTTAAACTGTCAGTATTCCGAAATGTCATGGTTCTAAAATGTTAGTTTTGATAAGTCATTGTTTTGAAATGTCAGTGTTCCGATATTTCAAAGTTTTAAATGTCAGTGATCGGGATGTCATGGATTCGGAATGTTGGTTTTGAAATGTCAGTGTTTTGGAATGTCAGTGTTCCAGAATGTTGGTTTTGAAATGTCAGTGAATTGAAATGTCAGTGTTCTGGAATGTCAGGGTTCTGGAATTTTGGTTTTGAAATGTCAGTGTTCCGGAATGTCAGGGTTATAGAATGCCGTTTTTTAAATGACTGTTTTGAAATGTCAGTGTTTTTAAATGTCAGTGTACTAGAATGTCAGGGTTCCGGAATGTAAGGGTTCTAGAATGTTGGTTTTTTAAATGTCAATTTTGAAATGTCAGGGTTCTGGAATGTCAGGGTTCGAGAATGTTGGTTTTGAAATGTCAGTATTTTAAAATTGCAGTTATCTGGCATGAAAGGGGTTCTAGAATTTCAGTTTTGAAATGTCAGTGTATTGAAATTCCGGAGTTCCAGAATCTTAGGGTTCTAGAATGTCGGTTTTAAACTCTCAGTGTTTTAAAATGTTGGTGTTCCGGAATGTCAGTATTCCAGAATCTTAGGGTTCTAGAATGTCGGTTTTAAACTGTCAGTATTCCGAAATGTCATGGTTCTAAAATGTTGGTTTTGATAAGTCATTGTTTTGAAATGTCAGTGTTCCGGAATGTCAGGGTTTTAGACTGTCGGTTTTGAAATGTCAGTGTTCCAGAATGTTGGTTTTGAAATGTCATTGTTTTGAAATGTCAGTGTCACAGAATGTCAGTGTTCTTGAATGTTGGTTCTAAGCTGTCAGTGTTCCTGAATGTCAGGGTTCTAGAATTTTGGTTTTGTAATGTCAGTGTTCCGAAATGTCAGCATTTTAAAATCTCAGTGTTCCAAAATGTCAGGGTTCTAGGATGTCGATTTTGAAATGTCAGCGTTCCCAATTGTCAGTGATCTAAAATGTTATTTAAAAATTTGAGTGTTTTGAAGTGTCGGTTTTCTGGAATGTCAGGGTTCTGGAATATTGGTTTTGAAATGTCAGTTTTGAAATGTCAGTGTTCCGGAGTGTCAGGGTTCTAGAATGTTGGTTATACAATGTCAGTATTTTGAAATTTCAGTGATCTGGAATGAAAGGGGTTCTAGAATGTCAGTTTTGAAATGTCAGTGTTTTCAATTGTCAGTGTTCCAGGATGTCAGGGTTCTAGAATGTCGTTTTTGAAATGTCAGTGTTCTAATATGTCAGTTTTGAAATGACAGTGTTCTAGGATTTAAGGGTTCTAGAATGTTGGTTTTGAAATGTAAGTGTTTTGAAATGTCACTGTTCCGCAATGTCAAAGTTTTAAATGTCAGTGTTTTAAAATATCAGTTTTCCGGAATGTCACGGTTCCAGAAGGTCGGTTTTGAAATGTCAGTGTTTCGATATTTCAAAGTTTTAAATGTCAGTGTTTTGAAGTGTCAGTGATCGGGATTTCATGGATTCGGAATGTTGGTTTTGAAATGTCAGTGTTTTCGAATGTCAGTGTTCCGGAATGTCAGGCTTCTAGGATGTTTGTTTTGAAATGTCAGTGTTCCGGAATGTCAGGGTTCTAGCATGCGGATTTTTAAACGTCAGTTTTGAAATCTCAATGTTCTGGAATGTCAGGGTTTTTGAGTGTTGGTTTTGAAATGTCAGTGTTCCAGAATGTTGGTTTTGAAATGTCATTGTTTTGAAATTTCAGTGTCACAGAATGTCAGTGTTCAAGAATGTTGGTTCTAAGCTGTCAGTGTTCCTGAATGTCAGGGTTCTAGAATTTTGGTTTTGTAACGTCAGTGTTCCGAAATGTCAGTGTTCTGGAATGTCAGGGTTCTGGAATGTTGGTTTTCAAATGTTAGTGTTTTGAAATGTCAGTGTTCTGGAATGTCAGGGTTCTGGAATGTTGGTTTTGAAATGTTAGTGTTCCGGAATGTCAGTTTTCCAGAACATTAGGGTTCTGGAATATTGGTTTCGAAATGTCAGTGTTTTGAAATGTCAATGTACCGGAATGTCAGTATACCGGAATGTTAGGGTTCTAGAATGTCGTTTTTGAAATGTCAGTGTTTTAATATGTCAGATTTCAAATAGCAGTGTTTTGAAAATGTCAGTGTACCGGAATGTCAGTTTTCCAGAACGTTAGGGTTCTGGAATATTGGTTTTGAAATGTCAGTGTTTTGAAATGTCAGTGTACCAGAATGTCAGTATTCCGGAATGTTAGGGTTCTAGAATGTCGTTCTTGAAATGTCACTGTTCCGCAATGTCAAAGTTTTAAATGTCAGTGTTTTAAAACATCAGTGTTCCGGAATGTCACGGTTCCAGAAGGTCGGTTTTGAAATGTCAGTGTTCCGATATTTCAAAGTTTTAAATGTCAGTGTTTTGAAATGTCAGTGATCGGGATGTCATGGATTCGGAATGTTGGTTTTGAAATGTCAGTGTTTTGGAATGTCAGTGTTCCAGAATGTTGGTTTTGAAATGTCAGTGAATTGAAATGTCAGTGTTCTGGAATGTCAGGGTTCTGGAATTTTGGTTTTGAAATGTCAGTGTTCCGGAATGTCAGGGTTATAGAATGCCGTTTTTTAAATGACAGTTTTGAAATGTCAGTGTTTTTAAATGTCAGTGTACTAGAATGTCAGGGTTCCGGAATGTAAGGGTTCTAGAATGTTGGTTTTTTAAATGTCAATTTTGAAATGTCAGGGTTCTGGAATGTCAGGGTTCGAGAATGTTGGTTTTGAAATGTCAGTATTTTAAAATTGCAGTTATCTGGCATGAAAGGGGTTCTAGAATTTCAGTTTTGAAATGTCAGTGTATTGAAATTCCGGAGTTCCAGAATCTTAGGGTTCTAGAATGTCGGTTTTAAACTCTCAGTGTTTTAAAATGTTGGTGTTCCGGAATGTCAGTATTCCAGAATCTTAGGGTTCTAGAATGTCGGTTTTAAACTGTCAGTATTCCGAAATGTCATGGTTCTAAAATGTTAGTTTTGATAAGTCATTGTTTTGAAATGTCAGTGTTCCGATATTTCAAAGTTTTAAATGTCAGTGTTTTGAAATGTCAGTGATCGGGATGTCATGGATTCGGAATGTTGGTTTTGAAATGTCAGTGTTTTGGAATGTCAGTGTTCCAGAATGTTGGTTTTGAAATGTCAGTGAATTGAAATGTCAGTGTTCTGGAATGTCAGGGTTCTGGAATTTTGGTTTTGAAATGTCAGTGTTCCGGAATGTCAGGGTTATAGAATGCCGTTTTTTAAATGACAGTTTTGAAATGTCAGTGTTTTTAAATGTCAGTGTACTAGAATGTCAGGGTTCCGGAATGTAAGGGTTCTAGAATGTTGGTTTTTTAAATGTCAATTTTGAAATGTCAGGGTTCTGGAATGTCAGGGTTCGAGAATGTTGGTTTTGAAATGTCAGTATTTTAAAATTGCAGTTATCTGGCATGAAAGGGGTTCTAGAATTTCAGTTTTGAAATGTCAGTGTATTGAAATTCCGGAGTTCCAGAATCTTAGGGTTCTAGAATGTCGGTTTTAAACTCTCAGTGTTTTAAAATGTTGGTGTTCCGGAATGTCAGTATTCCAGAATCTTAGGGTTCTAAGATGTCGGTTTTAAACTGTCAGTATTCCGAAATATCATGGTTCTAAAATGTTAGTTTTGATAAGTCATTGTTTTGAAATGTCAGTGTTCCGGAATGTCAGGGTTTTAGACTGTCGGTTTTGAAATGTCAGTGTTCCAGAATGTTGGTTTTGAAATGTCATTGTTTTGAAATGTCAGTGTCACAGAATGTCAGTGTTCTTGAATGTTGGTTCTAAGCTGTCAGTGTTCCTGAATGTCAGGGTTCTAGAATTTTGGTTTTGTAATGTCAGTGTTCCGAAATGTCAGCATTTTAAAATCTCAGTGTTCCAAAATGTCAGGGTTCTAGGATGTCGATTTTGAAATGTCAGCGTTCCCAATTGTCAGTGATCTAAAATGTTATTTTAAAATTTGAGTGTTTTGAAGTGTCGGTTTTCTGGAATGTCAGGGTTCTGGAATATTGGTTTTGAAATGTCAGTTTTGAAATGTCAGTGTTCCGGAGTGTCAGGGTTCTAGAATGTTGGTTATACAATGTCAGTATTTTGAAATTTCAGTGATCTGGAATGAAAGGGGTTCTAGAATGTCAGTTTTGAAATGTCAGTGTTTTCAATTGTCAGTGTTCCAGGATGTCAGGGTTCTAGAATGTCGTTTTTGAAATGTCAGTGTTCTAATATGTCAGTTTTGAAATGACAGTGTTCTAGGATTTAAGGGTTCTAGAATGTTGGTTTTGAAATGTAAGTGTTTTGAAATGTCACTGTTCCGCAATGTCAAAGTTTTAAATGTCAGTGTTTTAAAATATCAGTTTTCCGGAATGTCACGGTTCCAGAAGGTCGGTTTTGAAATATCAGTGTTCCGATATTTCAAAGTTTTAAATGTCAGTGTTTTGAAATGTCAGTGATCGGGATTTCATGGATTTGGAATGTTGGTTTTGAAATGTCAGTGTTTTCGAATGTCAGTGTTCCGGAATGTCAGGCTTCTAGGATCTTTGTTTTGAAATGTCAGTGTTCCGGAATGTCAGGGTTCAAGCATGCGGATTTTTAAACGTCAGTTTTGAAATCTCAATGTTCTGGAATGTCAGGGTTTTGGAATGTTGGTTTTGAAATGTCAGTGTTCCAGAATGTTGGTTTTGAAATGTCATTGTTTATAAATTTCAGTGTCACAGAATATCAGTGTTCAAGAATGTTGGTTCTAAGCTGTCAGTGTTCCTGAATGTCAGGGTTCTAGAATTTTGGTTTTGTAACGTCAGTGTTCCGAAATGTCAGTGTTCTGGAATGTCAGGGTTCTGGAATGTTGGTTTTCAAATGTTAGTGTTTTGAAAAGTCAGTGTTCTGGAATGTCAGGGTTCTGGAATGTTGGTTTTGAAATGTTAGTGTTCCGGAATGTCAGTTTTCCAGAACATTAGGGTTCTGGAATATTGGTTTTGAAATGTCAGTGTTTTGAAATGTCAATGTACCGGAATGTCAGTATTCCGGAATGTTAGGGTTCTAGAATGTCGTTTTTGAAATGTCAGTGTTCTAATATGTCAGATTTGAAATGTCAGTGTTTTGAAAATGTCAGTGTACTGGAATTTCAGTTTTCCAGAACGTTAGGGTTCTGGAATATTGGTTTTGAAATGTCAGTGTTTTGAAATGTCAGTGAACATGAATGTCAGTATTCCGGAATGTTAGGGTTGTAGAATGTCATTCTTGAAATGTCACTGTTCCGCAATGTCAAAGTTTTAAATGTCAGTGTTTTAAAACATCTGTGTTCCGGAATGTCACGGTTCCAGAAGGTCGGTTTTGAAATGTCAGTGTTCCGATATTTCAAAGTTTTAAATGTCAGTGTTTTGAAATGTCAGTGATCGGGATGTCATGGATTCGGAATGTTGGTTTTGAAATGTCAGTGTTTTGGAATGTCAGGCTTCTAGGATGTTTGTTTTGAAATGTCAGTGAATTGAAATGTCAGTGTTCTGGAATGTCAGGGTTCTGGAATTTTGGTTTTGAAATGTCAGTGTTCCGGAATGTCAGGGTTATAGAATGCCGTTTTTTAAATGACAGTTTTGAAATGTCAGTGTTTTTAAATGTCAGTGTACTAGAATGTCAGGGTTCCGGAATGTAAGGGTTCTAGAATGTTGGTTTTTTAAATGTCAATTTTGAAATGTCAGTGTTCTGGAATGTCAGGGTTCGAGAATGTTGGTTTTGAAATGTCAGTATTTTAAAATTGCAGTTATCTGGCATGAAAGGGGTTCTAGAATTTCAGTTTTGAAATGTCAGTGTATTGAAATTCCGGAGTTCCAGAATCTTAGGGTTCTAGAATGTCGGTTTTAAACTGTCAGTGTTTTGAAATGTTGGTGTTCCGGAATGTCAGGGTTAAAGAATGTCGGTTTTTTAACATCAGATTTGAAATGTCAGTGTTTTGAAAATGTCAGTGTACCGGAATGTCAGTTTTCCAGAACGTTAGGGTTCTGGAATATTGGTTTTGAAATGTCAGTGTTTTGAAATGTCAATGCACCGGAATGTCAGTATTCCGGAATGTTAGGGTTCTAGAATGTCGTTTTTGAAATGTCAGTGTTCTAATATGTCAGATTTGAAATGTCAGTGTTTTGAAAATGTCAGTGTACCGGAATGTCAGTTTTCCAGAACGTTAGGGTTCTGGAATATTGGTTTTGAAATGTCAGTGTTTTGAAATGTCAATGTACCGGAATGTCAGTATTCCGGAATGTTAGGGTTCTAGAATGTCGTTTTTTAAATGTCAGTGTTCTAATATGTCAGATTTGAAATGTCAGTGTTTTTAAAAATGTCAGTGTACCCGAATGTCAGTTTTCCAGAACGTTAGGGTTCTGGAATATTGGTTTTGAAATGTCAGTGTTTTGAAATGTCAATGTACCGGAATGTCAGTATTCCGGAATGTTAGGGTTCTAGAATGTCGTTTTTTAAATGTCAGTGTTCTAATATGTCAGATTTGAAATGTCAGTGTTTTGAAAATGTCAGTGTACCGGAATGTCAGTTTTCCAGAACGTTAGGGTTCTGGAATATTGGTTTTGAAATGTCAGTGTTTTGAAATGTCAATGTACCGGAATGTCAGTATTCCGGAATGTTAGGGTTCTAGAATGTCGTTTTTTAAATGTCAGTGTTCTAATATGTCAGATTTGAAATGTCAGTGTTTTGAAAATGTCAGTGTACCAGAATGTCAGTTTTCCAGAACGTTAGGGTTCTGGAATATTGGTTTTGAAATGTCAGTGTTTTGAAATTTCAGTGTACCAGAATGTCAGTATTCCGGAATGTTAGGGTTCTAGAATGTCGTTCTTGAAATGTCACTGTTCCGTAATGTCAAAATTTAAATGTCAGTGTTTTAAAACATCAGTGTTCCGGAATGTCACGGTTCCAGAAGGTCGGTTTTGAAATGTCAGTGTTCTGATATTTCAAAGTTTTAAATGTCAGTGTTTTGAAATGTCAGTGATCGGGATGTCATGGATTCGGAATGTTGGTTTTGAAATGTCAGTGTTTTGGAATGTCAGTGTTCCAGAATGTTGGTTTTGAAATGTCAGTGAATTGAAATGTCAGTGTTCTGGAATGTCAGGGTTCTGGAATTTTGGTTTTGAAATGTCAGTGTTCCGGAATGTCAGGGTTATAGAATGCCGTTTTTTAAATGAATGTTTTGAAATGTCAGTGTTTTTAAATGTCAGTGTACTAGAATGTCAGGGTTCCGGAATGTTAGGGTTCTAGAATGTTGGTTTTTTAAACGTCAATTTTGAAATGTCAGTGTTCTGGAATGTCAGGGCTCGAGAATGTTGGTTTTGAAATGTCAGTATTTTAAAATTGCAGTTATCTGGCATGAAAGGGGTTCTAGAATTTCAGTTTTGAAATGTCAGTGTATTGAAATTCCGGAGTTCCAGAATCTTAGGGTTCTAGAATGTCGGTTTTAAACTCTCAGTGTTTTAAAATGTTGGTGCTCCGGAATGTCAGTATTCCAGAATCTTAGGGTTCTAGAATGTCGGTTTTAAACTGTCAGTATTCCGAAATGTCATGGTTCTAAAATGTTAGTTTTGATAAGTCATTGTTTTGAAATGTCAGTGTTCCGGAATGTCATGGTTTTAGACTGTCGGTTTTGAAATGTCAGTGTTCTTGAATGTCAGGGTTCTGGAATGTTGGTTTTGAAATGTCAGTGTTCCAAAATGTCAGCATTTTAAAATGTCAGTGTTCCAAAATGTCAGTGTCACAGTATGTCAGTGTTCTAGAATGTTGGTTCTAAGCTGTCAGTGTTCCTGAATGTCAGGGTTATAGAATATTGGTTTTGTAACGTCAGTGTTTCGAAATGTCATCATTTTAAAATGCCAGTGTTCCAAAATGTCAGGGTTCTAAAATGTCGGTTTTGAAATGTCAGTGTTCCGGAATGTCAGGGTTCTGGAATGTTGGTTTCGAAATGTTAGTGTTCTGGAATGTCAGGGTTATAGAATGCCGGTTTTTAAACGACAGTTTTGAAATGTCAGTGTTCAAGAATGTAATGGTTCGAGAATGTTGGTTTTGAAATGTCAGTATTTTAAAATTTCAGTTATCTGGCATGAAAGAGGTTCTAGAATTTCAGTTTTGAAATGTCAGTGTATTGAAATTCTGGAGTTCCAGAATCTTAGGGTTCTAGAATGTCGGTTTTAAACTGTCAGTGTTTTGAAATGTTGGTGTTCCGGAATGTCAGGGTTAAAGAATGTCGGTTTTTTAACATCAGATTTGAAATGTCAGTGTTTTGAAAATGTCAGTGTACCGGAATGTCAGTTTTCCAGAATATTAGGATTCTGGAATGTTGGTTTTTAAAGACAGTGTTTTGAAATGTCAATGTACCGGAATGTCAGTATTCGGGAATGTTAGGGTTCTAGAATGTTGGTTTTTTTAAAGTCAGTTTTGAAATGTCAGTGTTTTGGAATGTCAGGGTTCAAGAATGTTGGTTTTTAAATGTCAGTATTTTAAAATTTCAGTTATCTGGCATGAAAGGGGTTCTAGAATTTCAGTTTTGAATTGTCAGTGTATTGAAATTCCGGAGTTCCAGAATCTTAGGGTTCTAGAATGTCGGTTTTAAACTCTGTGTTTTAAAATGTTGGTGTTCCGGAATGTCAGTATTCCAGAATCTTAGGGTTCTAGAATGTCGGTTTTAAACTGTCAGTATTCTGAAATGTCATGGTTCTAAAATGTTAGTTTTGATAAGTCATTGTTTTGAAATGTCACTGTTCCGGAATGTCAGGGTTTTAGACTGTCGGTTTTGAAATGTCGGTGTTCTTGAATGTCAGGGTTCTGGAATGTTGGTTTTGAAATGTCAGTGTTCCAAAATGTCAGCATTTTAAAATGTCAGTGTTCCAAAATGTCAGTGTCACAGAATGTCAGTCTTCTAGAATGTTGGTTCTAAACTGTCAGTGTTCCTGAATGTCAGGGTTATAGAATATTGGTTTTGTAACGTCAGTGTTTCGAAATGTCATCATTTTAAAATGCCAGTGTTCCAAAATGTCAGGGTTCTAGAATGTCGGTTTTGAAATGTCAGTGTTCTGGAATGTCAGGGTTCTGGAATGTTGGTTTCAAAATGTTAGTGTTCCGGAATGTCAGGGTTATAGAATGCCGGTTTTTAAACGACTGTTTTGAAATGTCAGTGTTCAAGAATGTAATGGTTCGAGAATGTTGGTTTTGAAATGTCAGTGTTTTGAATTGTCAGTGTGCTGGAATGTCAGTATTCCGGAATGTTAGGGTTCTAGAATGTTGGTTTTGAAATGTCAGTATTCCGAAATGTCATGGTTCTAGAGTGTTAGTTCTGATAAGTCATTGTTTTGAAATGTAGGTGTTCCAGAATGTCAGGGTTTTAAAATGTTGGTTTTGAAATGTCAGTTTTTTTAAATGTCACTGTTCTTGAATGTCAGGGTTCTGGAATGTTGGTTTGAAATGTCAGTGTTCCAGAATGTTGGTTTTGAAATGTCATTGTTTTGAAATGTCAGTGTCACAGAATGTCAGTGTTCTAGAATGTTGGTTCTAAGCTGTCAGTGTTCCTGAATGTCAGGGTTCTAGAATTTTGGTTTTGTAATGTCAGTGTTCCGAAATGTCAGCATTTTAAAATCTCAGTGTTCCAAAATGTCAGGGTTCTAGGATGTCGATTTTGAAATGTCAGCCTTCCCAATTGTCAGTGATCTAAAATGTTATTTTAAAATTTGAGTGTTTTGAAGTGTCGGTTTTCTGGAATGTCAGGGTTCTGGAATATTGGTTTTGAAATGTCAGTTTTGAAATGTCAGTGTTCCGGAGTGTCAGGGTTCTAGAATGTTGGTTATACAATGTCAGTATTTTGAAATTTCAGTGATCTGGAATGAAAGGGGTTCTAGAATGTCAGTTTTGAAATGTCAGTGTTTTCAATTGTCAGTGTTCCAGGATGTCAGGGTTCTAGAATGTCGTTTTTGAAATGTCAGTGTTCTAATATGTCAGTTTTGAAATGACAGTGTTCTAGGATTTAAGGGTTATAGAATGTTGGTTTTGAAATGTAAGTGTTTTGAAATGTCACTGTTCCGCAATGTCAAAGTTTTAAATGTCAGTGTTTTAAAATATCAGTTTTCCGGAATGTCACGGTTCCAGAAGGTCGGTTTTGAAATGTCAGTGTTCCGATATTTCAAAGTTTTAAATGTCAGTGTTTTGAAATGTCAGTGATCAGGATGTCATGGATTCGGAATGTTGGTTTTGAAATGTCAGTGTTTTGGAATGTCAGTGTTCCAGAATGTTGGTTTTGAAATGTCAGTGAATTGAAATGTCAGTGTTCTGGAATGTCAGGGTTCTGGAATTTTGGTTTTGAAATGTCAGTGTTCCGGAATGTCAGGGTTATAGAATGCCGTTTTTTAAATGACAGTTTTGAAATGTCAGTGTTTTTAAATGTCAGTGTACTAGAATGTCAGGGTTCCGGAATGTAAGGGTTCTAGAATGTTGGTTTTTTAAATGTCAATTTTGAAATGTCAGGGTTCTGGAATGTCAGGGTTCGAGAATGTTGGTTTTGAAATGTCAGTATTTTAAAATTGCAGTTATCTGGCATGAAAGGGGTTCTAGAATTTCAGTTTTGAAATGTCAGTGTATTGAAATTCCGGAGTTCCAGAATCTTAGGGTTCTAGAATGTCGGTTTTAAACTCTCAGTGTTTTAAAATGTTGGTGTTCCGGAATGTCAGTATTCCAGAATCTTAGGGTTCTAGAATGTCGGTTTTAAACTGTCAGTATTC